ATATATATATATATATATATATATATATATATATATATATATATATATATATATATATATATATATATATATATAATGCAGGCATAGCACCATCAGCAGATATATAATTCACATCACATGCATATAAAACCAGATAAAAGCTTCTACTGTATCATCAAACAAAGGCAGTCATCAAGAAAAGTGAAACAACATGCAACAGATACCCGAGATCACTGTTCAAAATCATTTTTTTCTTCAACAAATAAAACTGCAGTTTTCTTATTGAACAAAGAAACTTGGAACAAATATCTGACCACATGGCACTTTTTTGCAGATAAACTGGACGGTATATTTTGAAGGCCATGGAAACCAACACATCAAGTAACCAATCTGTTTGTTTGTGAAGAGTTGCACCTTGCTTCTGTAATCAAATAACTACAGTTAGTCAGAGCCTAAGAGCTAAATACAATAGCTGCCATGAAAGCATGGATACGAAAAGGTCTTCAGCCAGCTACTCAGATGGCACGCCTCTTGCAGAGAAGAGCTTCATTAGTTCAGATGACCTTAGAAGCAAAACAGAAGAGCTGGTTACAATTTGATAAGGATTGGACTGGTTGTGTGGATGTCGCATTGTTTTACCCTTTCATTTTCTCATCTTTGGAATCTTGTGGTCCATATATCACATCAATATAACTCTGGACCATTTCCATGGTTAGACCTGGAAACCGGTATGGGCTAGCGGGTCGAATATCTATTTTTATAAATGGCCATCTCATTGTCTCTGCAGCGGCACATTCTTCTGTTCCATCCCCAATCACACAGAACCGGACATTAGGACTACCAAACCGTTCTTTGATCCATGAGAAGCACTGAAGCTTCCCCACTTCCCATGAGCTGTAGACTATCAGGGAGTGATGAAAATTTTCAGCAGTGCTGACAAAATGTATACAATTTTACATGCAATTGATTATGTTCCAAGCAATATTGTCAATTGAGTCTGCATGACCATAAAAATTAAACAACTGCATTAAAAAGATGAAAAGAGTAGGAGAAAGCTCATGATTGGAACTCCTGGTGTATCTAGAGGATGTGCAGCATAAGTCTTTATTTAATGTGTGATTATTCAAATTACCAGATGAATTTGCACATAGCAATAGCTAGCACCTGTGGATTTTAGAATTAGCTTTCATTATGGGAATCAAGTTACATTTTGTAACAAAGTAATTCACTGGTTGAAGAGTTAGATGCGGAAATAAAATCAAGAGTTCTGGAATTCCAGAATATTGTGCTTCATGGGTCACAAGCAGAAAGTACCCAAGTTCATATAGACAACTAAATGATGACGCTTACCAGTTACTAGCAAATACGAAAACAACAAACAAGAATAAATAATAAGGAAAGCACATACCATTATTAGCCGAGATTACATCATCCAATCGATAAAGCAAACACTTGGCGAGACTTGGAACCAGGGATCCCGAAGTAACTAGGACATTAATGCTTTGATCTTTGGTAATAATGGATCTAGGTGTCATTTCTGATGAATGATCACTTGCTGAAGGCTTAGTCTTAGCCAAAGTCTGTTCCAATAGAGCATGTGCTGCAACAAACAAAGAATAAACAGACACCATACAAAGGCTAGCTTCAATAAATACATAAATAATCAGAACAAAAGAAAAAGAATCAAATATGGAGCAAGCAAAATCTACTGCATTGTAATCATCCACTGAAGAAGCAATAGGTTGCTAAATAGTCAAGTCTTAGAATAACTAATTTCTACTCACAATGGTGCAATACCGTTTCAAATATTATATATCCAAGTTGAAAATCATTATTCTTGGAGGTGCATGGATTTACATGGTCCTCACAAATTCCCCTGGACTTGGCACCCACATTCTCCCTAAGAATCGACTTGGAAAAACCATTAGGAAATCATGAGTCATCTATTTTAGGTGACCAACCTCAACAAAAAATTTTGAAACCAAAGGTCTTAAATTAAGTAGGACTAAAACAATATATGAAATGTAATCTTAGTAATACTAGGAATCGACAAGAGGATAAAGCTAAGTTGGATGGCCAAAAAGTTCCGTGAAGTAAAAGTTTTAATTATCTTAGATCAATTACTCAATTAGATGGAGAGATTGATGAAGAATAAAATTATTATCAATAATATTCATAGAGTAGGAATAGGATAGTTAAAAATAACAAGAAGCACCAGGATTCTTATGTGATTATAGGATACCTTTGGGATTAAAAAAAATTATAAGATAATTATTAGACCAACAGTTAAGATGCAAAACATATACAAAAAAGTCTACGTTGCTGAAATGAGAATGTTGATGTGAATGTTCTGAGTCGATATACAAGATAGGAAAAAAATTATTATTGTTCATGAACATGTATCATCTCGATATAGGATAAAATGAGAAAGAATCATTTAAGATGATACAAATATATGCTCAAAAGATCAGTTAATAGGTGAAATGATTATTGTTAGTAGTATGAGAAGAGACAGAAGAACACCTAAAACAACGTTAATAGAAATTATAAATAAAGATTTAAAATACTCTTAAGATATGGCTCTTTATAGATCCCAATAGCAACAAAAGATCCATATAACTTTATAGTTTATGGCTTTGTTGTTGTTGAACCTCAACAGAAAATTTTGATTGTAGGAAAATGAAGCAGCGCCATCTTCTTGAGGCATTCCATGCTGAGGAATCAGACTGCTTATGCTTCCAGCTTAATGAGACAAAATCTTGCATACAAAGCTAAATCTATAACATCATGTACCATGCAACAAAACTTATTGGTAATAGCAAGAAAAATTAGAGTCTAGTTTCAAGAACCATGTTTATGGCCGCTACTACTGTGATGAAGTTTCTAAGTTCTCCCTGAGGTACATGGACCAGGTGGATCCTCCATAAAGGCAGTAACACTGGCCCTAGAATTTAGCCAGAAATATATCTCATGTTTTTAAGGTCCAATTCAATGATTGCAAATGACACTATTAATTAGGTATAATTATTATTGCCTTGGTTCCATTGCCACACAACTCCATATGGAGTTATGGACAATCAAAGTCGGTAGTTCCTAGATGCAATTCTAAATACCTCAGTCAACAACTTAACATCCTAGTGAATTTCTTTTGGATTCTCTCCTAGGTCTATGCCAACATGTGAATTGCTTAAGTATATGACTCCATAGCACTTAACATCCCTGTCAGAAGATCTTATCAACTTTACATCCATCCAAAGACAAATGAAAGATTCCTATGTTGGAACTTCTGACAATCAATTGCTACTCATTTCTCATAAAACTTTGTTTTTCTCCTATCCAATACCTCATTAGAACTTAGTCCTAATGAGTTTAAATTCCATAAGTAACCTGCATATTCAACTAAACTGATTCCAAATTCTTGCATATAGTCCATCAACCTAACACTTAAACCATCATATTACTAGATGATAGGGTTATTTGGAACACAAACTGTATAGATTCTCAATTACTTGCTTGTCTCTATCTCCTTCTTGGTCCAACATCAGATAGATTAGTAACTCAAGCTTAAAGACAAACTTGCATGAATAGTCTTAGGTCTGCAATAACAGGATGTCAATCAAAAAAGAGAGAGAAACCATTCGTCAATTTATATCTGTACATTAAATATGGCATCATATCCAAATCAACATACCTGAAGAAAGCCATCCACCAGTATAGCTATCAGTTAAACTGTACAGATCATTCCAGAGTTTAATCATCTGTTGGTCAAGTACCTTGTGTAAACCCTGCATTAACAAAAGTCCAGGATCAAATGCTTGAAAATCTACCATCCATTAATACATGGAAAAAATAATTAAGTTCCATTAAGAAAATTAAGAAAATAAAAATGCAAGCTTCTCAATGCACATCTTATTGATGTAAAACTTATTTCAAAAGCAGACCCCTGTAGTTTAAGCAATGAGCAAAGGCTAAATCATAATCAGTTATGCTTGACTGCAGAAGTCCTTAATGAGTCAATTTCAGTTCAATTCTGAAGCTTAATCAATTTACCATATAGTTGGGTTTAGGGAAGACACAACCTGATCAGATTGAACTTGCCACTATCTACACAATTTAAAAGTGCTTTACTTTGTAAACAATATGCATAGTGCTTTGCTGAAAGGGTTGAAAATTAGATGAATAAAAAATTAAGGCTGTACAAATCATGGGTTTAAATATTGTTGTACCAGTACATATGGACCGATCTACCAGTCATACTAATGATCAGTGCAGCTTCATACAGATCAGTATTCAATTTTAAATTTTCAGTGGCATTGAGTGGTACAAAGTCGATACGGTGTCCAGCATACTAGTATTTTACTAATCCAATAGGTTATCAAAATCAAGGTTTGACGTACTAAAGCATACTGCTCGATACAAGCAGTATATACCGGTCCGATAGAGGACCGATACGGGTGGTACATCAGTACATTCCAGTGTACCATGTATTGGTATGCTAGGTATAACTCATACTGACAGATGGTCGATACACCAGTACGGACCGGTAATGCAAACCATGATCAAAACCTGTATTGGACTAGTATAAACAACCTTGGAGGAAACAACACCAATCAATAATCAATATTATATCTCCATAAGATGAGAAACAAGCAAAGCCTCACAAGCTCTACAAAATTTGAACGGTGAAGTTATATACAACATGTGTTTGAGCAATAAGTTAGAACAATATACATTTCTATAGTTGGATTGTAAAGAAGTTCCCATTATCAGAATATCATTCAGTCACTCTAACAATTTGCAAGCAATACTGAGAGTTGATGCTTCATAAGTTCAAACTTTAAGAGTAAAAAAGTCTCTCTGACGAAAAGTTGGACCACAAGATTATATGAAGACATTCAAAAACAGAAGGTAACTTTTACTTCATATCATGTAACACAACCAAATTGGTGAAGTTCAAACTTAGCAGTCTAAGATGGAATAATTAATCAAACCACTAGAAAGGTTCAAAAGCAAACAGGAAAGAGGGCACAATTAACCATTCTGATAAACATTCCTTAGAGGATAGACAACTTAAGTAGTATAAGGAGCAAGGTTCAAATACCAATTGGACTGTTAAGACCAACGATCATATTGATTGCTTTTATATTATTTTTCAGCAATGGTACAATGCCACTTGATATAAAAGTACAGTACCAGTCTAACAAGATAAATCAGATCAACAATTTAAACCTTGACAGAAAGCACTTAAAAGAGCCCCGATTTTGTCAGATACCTTTTACTTCCTTACCTTCAATTGCTCATAATTGCACAATACAAAAAATGACATGCATTTGTATGAATAAAGACTAAAAAAACAAAAGCTAACTTAAAGAAACACCTGAGAATACTTCTCCGCAATAGAGCGATGTCGATATGCAAGTTTCCTTTTATTGGCATCATCATAAGGAGAAGAAAATCCATCATTGCTAAAATCATAATTTGACAAATCTCTTCCATCATCATATTCACTCAGAGCATCGAGATATGGTTCATTATAGTTCTCAATCTGCAAGGCAGCATAAGTGTGAAAAAATATCAGTAACTGCCAAGGCAGATTCTATATGATATGCGGACACAACTAAGGTAGCTTTTAGCAAATACTGATCATGGCATGCCCTGCTAGTTAGTTAAGAGTTTTAAGTAATGAGCTTTTCAAAACTGGTATGCTCCAAATGGCTTATAGAAGAAAATTGTTTTGTAACATGCTTACAACTTAAAAACACCTTGGATGTATGTTATTTCAACGCCCTATCATGATGTTAGGCTATTTAAATCATTCAGCATTATGGTGAGCTAATTGAAATGATAAAGTTCATGGTGAAAGGTCTACAGAAAGCCCAGCCAGAAACAGCAAATCTACAAAACCAAAGCAGCTTTAAACAAACTAACCACTTCGTAGAAGAAAAATTCATCACAAACTCGAAGAATGTGATTCTCCCAATGCTTCCCAATCTCGAAACCTTTCTTTGTGTCCTTCATACCGTTAAAGACCCCTGCATATGTACCATCCAACAAGGACTTCAACAGTATAAGAGTCTCATCCATGTCCCATATATAAACCGTCGTAGGCTTGGAAATTTCTTGGTCTTCTCCAAAAGTAACTGCAGGAGTTCTATCCACCATCTCCGCCGCTTTCTTTACTGATCAATGCTGCTGCTAAATTCTAGGACATGTAGGTGCACCATTCACCAACAGAAAATAAGGTTGGCATGATCAGAGAAGCAAGGTAACCTGAGATCAATAGAGAACCAAAATATGCAGAGCTCTCATCAGAAACCCCTTTTTATGTGGTTTCAAACGCGAAAATAGAACAGTGGTAGGAAAAAAAAAAGGCGTAGCTTTCTACAAGCAAAAGATTACTGATTCGCAATAAGACCATCAGATACATCAAAAATGGCTTGAAACCTCTTTCTGTACAGTTGTTCAAGATTCAATGGCGCATAACCTAAGAGAACTTACATGATTATTCGCCAAAGAATAGTGATATGAGAATTCTTCAACAGAATATAGGCCAGAGATGAGCAAAAGAGACGCTAGGAAACAAATCAAAAGAAATCATTATTTGAGTAGATCTAAAACGAAGAGAGCAAGCAAATGATATCCCCAAAAGCTGTCCCTAAAACACAAGGAGCAAGGCGGAAAAAAGGCCGATCGCTTGATTCGAGAACAGATCAAGAATTTTGTTTTCTGCAGCTTAAAGAGGAAAAGAGAGGAGCGGTAGGGCAAAGCTGAGGAATGGAATCGCAACCCACCTCGCGATCTCTCCTCTCTCTCGATGGATCCATCGACAGACCTGTTGCCATGGGCCGGACGACGGGGAGTAAATTGCCTCGGTCGACAGCCATGTGCGGATCCGCTGTACCACCTTAAACATCGCGTGTCTCGTGATCACGCGTGGCAGGCCAAGGAAACTGTGGACCCCGTCGCCGAATCTCCCATATTAAATGCTAATCGTACCCCCCCCCCCGAGGAACACCCATCATGCACCTGCTTCGTGATTGAAGACTAGAGGCGACCCCGTCCAATATCCCCGATCAGCAGGCAGGAAAGATCGACGACAAATCCGAACAACCGACAACCGCAGTTTTCGGGATCACCGCACGTATCTCAACAATATAATGCGCGAATCTTAAGACAGCCCTGACGCACGAGGAGGTTGGGTTTCATGTTCGAGGATAGAACAGTTGGGCCCAAGTGGGGCCCAACGAAACGACAATGACAGGCCCAGTGCTATTTGCAATAACGAATAACCAGGACCACACGTGTGAAGAAATTTTCTTTTTTAAGATATATATATATATATAATATTGTATAATTTTTTTGATATTTATGTACATAACTTTCTTTTTTCACATTATATATGTCTTGTATTAAGATCATACACAGTACATCCTAACAACAGGACTCAAATTAGTACTCGAAAACTCCACTTTGTCTTCTCCATCATCTTCTGTTCCTTTTTTTATACTGAGAACTGATCTTTTGACTGCTACTCCAAAGAGGAACCCTGTGGATGTGGAGTATCGAAGAGCAACCAAGTAAAATTAGGCTGTTCTGCGTAGCCCAAGAGATCCATACAAGATGCTCATCCGAGAACAATCTTCATTGCCAAAATTTCATTAAACATGCAAAACAGTCAGTTCCTAGCTAAGTGAAAGCAATATGCAAGAACTCCACACTCCACTCAATAAACAGTCGAACAGGATAAACACAATCTTTAAAGTCTGTTCCAACAGTAAGATCTATGTATGTCTCACTTGGATCAATAGGCCACACAAATTTTCAGGGTGGAAATTTCCAACTATTAGTGAGACAGTCGAGTTCAGAAGAACTGCCATTTACCGTTCCCATCTTTGATCAAACCACTTGTAGCTCAATTGATGACTGCCTTTGGTTGCTAAAATTCCGACGTTGAGTAAGATCATTTAAGAAAACCATACAGTTCGAACATACAACTGATATGTAAGTTCTTCTCATGTATAAACAAACCCTGGACTTACGGGTGGCAGGGTACCGAAGAGGTCAAAACTGGCCAGCCCTGATATCTCTGTCCAGTCGATCTGCATTAAGCGTGCCAGGAAGCTCCCGGAAATCTTCATTGAATATTGAGTATGCACTGCATCAAACAATATAGAGAAATTTTCCTGTTAAGAGCAACGGGCAAGACAAGAATGCAAAGTGAAGGTAAATTGGCATTGGCAACAAAATAACATTTTACCAAATCCATCTGAAACATTGAAATAAGAACACAGTTTCTACTATGACATGTAAAGAAAGTTGATATAGCTTCATGTAAACTCTGGTTTTATTCATTCAGATACTCCATGATGAACATGTCTCAGCAACTTATCCACACACTGCACAAACAAAGCTGTTCCATACAGAGTTCAAAGTTGTTTCATTCTACGACTTCTTGTCATCGAGTAAGACGAGCTTGTTACAGTGAGATTTATGGTCCAGTGATGAACATGTTTTGTCTGCCGTTCTTCCAGTTTGTACCTGGAAAATGAACACATGAAGACTGACCTTGCCTTTCTTTCAGTACAATGATCAAGAGATCTCACCAGTTCAGATTAAGCTAAATGTTAGCCTACAACTATTAAACCATGCATATAATATGGCTTAGTTCCTAAAACTTTAACAAGTTTATGACCGATGGCCTCCTTAATGAAGAGAAACAGACAGAAAACAGAAAAGGTAAAACAAAAAAGTTAAGTACCATGTAAAAAAATCTAAAGACCAAAGAAAGCTGAAGTAAGATTCATGAAGACATATAAACTCTTATTCATAATCTTAGGATGTGAACTGAACAGTAAATCTCCAAGGCAACATTATAGCTTCTAAAAGCAAACCAAATTGGGGAAATTATTTTACATTAGCCAAGAGACTGCATACCTTAGGTCACCATGTTGTCTCTTTCCAAGATTCAGAAGAATAATTAAAAATCCAGTGATAAGTATCTGCAAATAATATCAGCCGTCAGTTCCAGATATCAACCATTTATACAATGGTTGTCTATAATTTAAGATTTTTTTTTTCTGCTGGGCACTCCAGTATGCATACTTCTGTTTTCAGCTTCAATTTAAACTTTTCTTTGTAAGAGAAAGGAAAAGCAACAACATACTGCTTAAAAGGGTTTGAAAGTGCACGCAACACTAAGAAGTGGGTGGAAATGAATGATAGTTAAGAGAAGGCCATGATGTTGCACATAATATACTTCAGTACTTGTTATACAGCAGAAGATGAATAAAAACTAAACCTGTTTAGCTTCAAAATTTTAATACATTCACTGATCATCCTAAGATGTTGAAATCAGACACACATGTTGCAACACATCTCAAATAAAATCTTAATTTCACGAAAAGAAGGATTATGTGTCACTTGAAACAAGAAGCTGGAGAAGCACACTTACATAGATGGGTCCTATATCCCATTTCTGAGCAACTGGAGCCAATAAGAACCACAGAATGATACCAATCCATGCCTTTAGACTGATAGAGAAAATTGCCATCAAGAGGATGTCTATGAAATTAAAAAGTAATAAAGTCATGTAATCCGCATAATTTATCTTCCAAGTGAAACAAATTTTGAGTTTATGCATACCAGGCAATCTCAATTTCTGATGAAGAAACAAGAAAATTCTCTTCTTCAACCAGTTTGCTGACTGTGGAATTTGAAATTTCTGAAACCAATATAATAAAATTTAAAAGGTAAAATAATAATATATGCTTTCTTTGGCTTCATTAAAAAAACACTTTAACTACTGCACACTTACCAATTCTTCATCATCATCATCATCACCATCACGAAGATGCCTTGCAGGAGGCTTAGGCACCACAGCTACTATAAGAGAATCTGGAAAAAGTATTAAAGTTAAGCATATTAAAGGCACAATGACAAACTCTTTTCCATTTGTACTTCAAGCTTCATAAACACCTTGCCTTTTGTTTACAAAACAATGACAAACTCTTTCCCGTTTGTACTTCAATTTTAGTGTACAAACACACCTAATCTAGAGAAAAATAAAGGCAACTAAGCATTTGCTTAATTCAAATCTTCAAGAGCATAAAATGGTCTGAGAAGCACATTGTACTACCTCATTTGGTGCAGGCAAACCACATGCTTGTTGTATTTCATGTCAATAGCTTGCACAAAACCTATACTTCACCACTGGGAATATTAACTATTGTTATTAAAGCAGATCCCACAGTTTGATGCATCATGACTATTATATGATTAAAAAATGAGTGTTATTGGAAATTAGTGCATAGTAATACAAAAGGAAAAAAAATGAGAGATTAATGGAATACAAATAATTTCTTTCTAGCAAAAGACTTGAATAAAGTCATCATGAGAACAGAAGCAACACAAAACAGGAAAAAGGGAATTCAAAATGGTTTGGCCATGATCTGCATAACCCAAAGGAAGTTCAGTAGGATAGTTGCCCCAAACTTGATTTGATAGTCAATGATGGCATGGGACCAAACATACCATAGCAAGGGCTAAGATACTTAAATGTCAGTTTTGTGTTCAGCAAAGAGATTATTTTAGCAAAAGAGAAGAACCGTCTTGTCATGGCCTTAGCTGGAATTGCCTAAGGCATGAGGTACCCTTGCAGCCAAAGACGCGAACTTAGCTTGCGTTGCCTAAGTCGCGGGTCACCTTTGCGGCAAAGAGGCGAACTTAGCTTGCGTGGCCTAAGTCGCGTTTCTCCCTTGCGATATTGCTCCGCAAGGATCAGCCCACTTGTAACCTCTCGCAGGTCCCGAAGGACCTGTAAAAAGAGAAAGTTGATTAGTTCGAAAGAACGAGCGGCGGACAAGTCCCGACGTCTCGCGAAAAGGGGAAGCTTTACAAGCAATTCAGCGAGCACCTTGCGTGCACAAGAGAAAAGAGGGAGAGGGGGAAAACAAAGGCTTTAGAAGGTTGAACTGTTAGGACTCTAGTTTGGAGAGTCCTAATTGAGAGGGATATTCATGTAAAACCTACCTAAGCCGACCCCTATTAAAGAGGTGAAGAGGCCGGCTAGGGTTAGGAGGTTGTTTCTTAGAGAAGAATAAGGAGTTGTAAAGGAATAGGAGTCTTGAGTAGGAGTCCTATTAGGTGTTGGTTAGAAGTAGGAGTCTTGAGTAGGAGTCCTATTAGGAGTTAGGGTTTAGAAGCCCTATAAATAGTCATGTATTCCTCCTCTTTTCACAAGCAATAGATGAATCTTTTCTGCAGCCTTTGAGCAGCAACTTGGAGGGAGGAACCCCTATAGAGTTCCAAGGAGGCCGATCCCCTAAAGAGATCAACCCCAAGTTTAGAATCTGCAAGGGTTCTAACACCTGGTATCAGAGCAGCGTTCTTGGCGTCTCGCTGCCCTTCCACAGCCATCCATCAACCCTCCACAACCGCCCAAAGCAATTCCCACAATTGCTTAAGAGATCGTTGCCAAATTCCGTCGTCATCTCCACCACCACGGATCATCCTTTGATCTCCCCGTGAATTGCAACAGGTTCTGGTTTTCTACCTTACTGCTGCTGCAATTTAGTTATCCTTATTTGAAAATCCCAAAAAAATTATTCTTATATTGCTGCATAAACTTTTCATCATAAAGTTTTCATCTCTACGACGAAAGATACATTGCAGAATTCCAACCGTATAGCACCGTCTGTTTGATCTTGCTACTGTGTTTTTTCTATCTAAATCTCTACGAAATTTTTATGACATCTTTGACATTTCCTAACAGTAGATTTCCTTTAGTTTTGTCAAAAAATTCTCAATATAAACCATTGATATTTTACGTCTAATCTACTATACTTCAAAATCTGCACTGTAAAATTTCAGCTGCATAGCACTGTTTGTTTGATCTTGATACTACGTTGTTTCTATCCAAATCTCTACGAAATTTTTATGATAGCTTTGACACTTCCTAACAGTGGAATTCCTTTTGGTTTCATTTAAAAATTCTCAATATAAACCACTGATCTTTTACATCCAATCTGCTATACTTAAAAATCTGTACTGTAGAAAATTTCAGCCGTATATTGTTTCCTTAACCCATCTATTTGCAATCTTTTTTGAATGAAATTTCTTATACACTTCATAGATCATCTTGACTTCTATCTATGATTGATCTATTAAGAAATTCATCTCTAAAAACGATTTTCTGTTGCTGCAAATTTTCGTCGTAACCCGCTGAAGTTTCTCGATGAGAATTCTGCAATCGTAACTTGCACCAATTTCCTTGCTGTTATACTGCCGAAATTTTCTTGATTAAATTAGATATCCTTGCTGTCATATAAACTGTGATTTTGCTATCAATTCCCTCCTCAATTCTCTCAAGTTTTTGATGGAAATTATGTCGAGAAACCGTTGTTTCTTCGACGACAATTCTACTCTTATAAGATAACACATACTTGCTGCAACTTCCACTTATTTCTATCAAACCTTTGCTACCATCTACCACAGATCCAAAACTTTCATCTACAGCCCTAAAACTCCACCAAACCACACCCTCAAACTGCACCCAAAATAGCCACAAAACAAGCCTAGACCGTAGCCTACATCCACCGATCTACCAACCCTTTCGACCATCACCTCTCTCAACTAATACATGCCTTTAACCCGACAACAAAAGAGAGATCTTAACATCACTGATTTGGCGGCATATACTATGGCATCTGAGGAGGTAATCGATGCTAAATTCAAAGCCTTCGAGGCGTGAATGAAGGATAAGATTCGAACGCTCTTTACCGAACTCAGATTGGGCCGACCACTAAGCCCGAAGAAATCACATCAAGGAGAGAGCTTTGCCCAATCGCACCAAGCCCAAAGATATGACTTCCAAGAGAGGGGAAGCTCTATGACCAACCCCAACTATCCATACATGAGAGTGGACTTCCCTAGATGGGAAGAAGGAGACCCGATTGGTTGGATCTCGCGCGCGGAGCGATATTTTCGATACCATAAAACCGCGAATGCATCTATGGTGAAAATTGCAGCTATACATCTTGAAGGGGATGCTATACAGTGGTTTGACTGGTTTGAACATACTTATGGAGTCCTTTCATGGCGACAATTCAAAGAAGGACTACTGATCCGCTTCAAACCAACTGATTACGAGAATATTGACGGACAACTAGC